AAACTGAACATCGCATCCAGTTTCCCTCACCTCCGCATTCTGCCAGACCCATCAGAGAAACAGTCTCTTCCTCTGCTGTGGGCCTGCCCGCCATGCTACAAAGAGTGACATTCTAGGGTGGAGGTCATCTTCCTACAATGCTCCACGTGTTGTTTTAAGCACTCATTCTATTGTACCATACTCATGCATGACCTTTACAGTGAGCATAGGCACAGCATCATGGGGGATAAGTTAATTTGCATGATATGCCAGCTGTGCCTTGAGAGCCTGGCAAACAATATAAATACTAAAAAAGTAATTATTTTTTATTTTCACAACACAAAGCTATCTTTTAGTTATCCATAAAATTACTTTTATATCGAGCTTGTTTCATATTATATAATGCTGCTGGTAATATTTTATCAGAAGACAATCAGTCGAGGTTTATGGCATTCCATTTAGCACTTCACAGAGTTTTTGTACATAGTGTTTTATGTTTCAGTATGTCTTTTTACATTTTCATTTTCTGTGCTTACATTAGTATATGAAAAAGTAAATGATTTATTTTGAGCTTATTTGTACCTTGTATCCCATTTTCGCATCTGTGAAGAAGTGTGAAAAAGCATGCTAAAGTGTGATTTGGGAATTATATCCAGAATAACGATGTCAGGGCTAGGGATATGTTTTAAAACATTAAAATAAATTGAATATAACCCATAGTGCTAAAATGATAAATAATCCTACGGGGCAGTTTGGGAGATATTTCTCTAAATAATCTGGAAAGTGTCTTTGTTTTATAAATAGGGTTGGCTAGAAAAACGAAAAGGGAAACTGAATGCTTTTCTGGCAAAAACATGATGGAATGATAAATCCATTGCATCACCGAAAATATACATTCAAAAGGGACAGGGCACAAACGAAGCAACAGACGAGAATATCTAATAGATTTAGTAGATTGCACCAAAAAAAAAAGGCTTTGACTTCTCTCCCCCTTATACGTACAGACACGGTTTCGCTTTGTGAGGTCTGGTGGAAAGGAAGATGTTTATAATTTTGTGATCTCACACTTTAAATCATAATTGTAAGGTCAAACATTTTTATTCATTTTTTAGTTTATGGTTAGCAAAGACATCAGACGTTGTATTAGTAAGAAATATACATCAGTAGTAAAATTTTCAAAGAGACTCAAGTGCAATAGTATTGAAAAAAAGAACAATAAGGATGTGGAATTCTCTGCCTGACGAGGTGGTTTTATCAGAGTCTACAAAGATGTTTAAACTGCAGTTGGATAAGTAATTGCAAAAACATAATATAGAGGGATATCATTTTAACGAGATCTGACTGCTGCAAATTTGGAGGGTCAAGGTTTTTGCCAATAGGCAATCGATTGCGATGCATTATAAATATTGTGCAACAAAATTATGCAAAAAAAAATCTAATACATTTTTTTAAATGCCATATAAATTCATGTTGATGATCCCTCCAGCAGCCCAGCTCAGAGACTATCAGTAGCGTGACCAAACCTCTCGCTGAGCAGGAAATTACTCCACCAATCAGGAGCCTCGCAATCTATTCTTCGGGTATTGACCCCGTCCCACGCTGCAGATCAGTTTCATTTACTTCTCACTTTTTATACTTTTCCACATTGCTTCTATCAGCGATTCTAATTCTAAAATATTTTCATAACACTGCTGTATTTGATTGTCAGCTCCTCGAGAATTTCTGTATTTTTGGTATGTATGAAGACATGGGTGGATTATGTATAGAAGGGGCCGAATTATTTTAAGGATTTTTTTCTGTGTGTGTACCATTTTCTAAAACGAAACCGCTGCAATTTACAGATTTTGGATAAAACTCAAATATTGTTTAATGATACTGAGTGAGTATCTAGTGTAGGTAGGCAGCTCTCATTGCAAGGTCTCTGTGTTATAAATATTTTACTGTTAATTCGAGAATTGAAATATCATACAGTAAAACAATGTTTCACTTTTAGTGACAGTTAGTGACACTTCATATATAAGAACACGGCAAGCACCATAACCACTGCAGTGAGCTATTCTGGTAATGGTGCCCCGAGTGTCTATTCCCCCCATTGTAAGTAGTCAAACTGTTTTAGATCCTCTGGGCACCACTCCCCACCGCCTCTCAGCATCCAGCAAGGCATGAGCTTCTCAAAGCTCTTTTGCGTTAAGTCCGTCAGTGCAGGTTCAGCCAATGAGTATTGAACTGCTGGCTTAGCCCAGGCAGAAAACTTCTGACTCCACGTAGAGAGGGCCCCGGAGCAATCATTTTCTTTTTGGGCCTCCTCTAGTGCAAGGATGGCTAAATGGTCAATCACAATCTCTCGTACATCTTCCACAATGCTTTGACAGCTGGGGATCTACCGTGCAGAGCTGTATTTGTGAGCAGTGTTTGTGTTTGAATCTAAGTCTTTTTTTGTGCGTTTGAATGTATTTGTGTGTAGTGCTGGCATTTGAATGCGGTTGTATGTTTGTGTGAACTGTTGCTATACGAGAACAGTGGTGTACTTGTGAGTATGCACTTGGGTTATTTGAACTTCATAGTCATTGTGAGAGATCGCTTGGATTGAGATATATATACATTGTAAACTGTGTATAAAACATATAACAGAAGAGTATCTGGTGCAAATATGTTTGCAACGTGTAGATTTGATTAACAACTAAAGTGCCAGTGCATCAAAACAGGTACATGTTACCTTAAAATTCAGTGTAGTATTTTAACAAAAACCATAAGGCATGAATAAAATGGACAAAAACTCACATAAAGAAATCACAACACAAGTAGTCCCAAACTGTGTCCCAATATATGATGACAAACAGCTTTCCGATATTTATATCTCTTAGGAAATGGAAAGATATAAAATAATTATCGAAAGCCATCTCGCAACAGGAGTAAGAAAACAATCCTTTATTGAAGAGCTTACAATGCATTCGCTCCACTCAAGTGGAAGTTTTTAGCAGTTGCAGTTCACATAAAGTATTTACGAGTTCTGCTCCACCGTGGCTGGCCGGGGAAGGTGGCATCCGTTCCAACAGCAATCGCTGCAGGGAAAATAAAACAGACTTCTGGAGATGAGCAAGAAGCTGCGAATGTGGGTGTTATATTGTTAAAATGTCTTTAAAAGGGTTATTTAAAAAATAGATCTTCACTTCAAGCTGTCAAAATACTTCAACTTCCTTGATGTGCTCCATATGACGACATGCCTTAATGGAGTGTTTCAAAGTAAAAAATTGTAGGAACCACAAAGTTCTTCTGTTTAATATACAACATAGAAAACACTAAAGCAGAAATTGAGGTTAAAATATACAAAAAATAATAAAGGTAATACCACACTCAAATATACAACATATACGTCATTTTTTTTAGTTAGCTTTTCCTGTTCTTTTAAAATTGTAAAAATTATTTGACTTATTTTCTTTTCATAATAACTAGAGTTGAGCGGACACCTGGATGTTCGGGTCCAGCAGGTTCGGCCGAACTTTGAAAAAAAGTCCGGGTTCAGGCTTGAACTTGACCCCGAACTCAAACCCTATTGAAGTCAATGGGGTCCCCAACTTTTGGGCACAAAAATGGCTCTAAAAAAACTCCTGGAAAGAGCTAGAGAGCTGCAAAAGCAAGTAAAATGGGGATAAGAGAAGGACAAGTGCCCTGCAAACAAATGTGGATAGGGAAATCACTTAAAATAACATGAAATACCAAAAAATAAAAAATTCAGCTGAGCCATAAAATAGCACTAGATGGAATCTTTGATTTTAGCTTTGGAAGAACATAAATCAAAATCTAAAGCATGGGTGTCAGGAGGATCACCAGAATTATCCATTTGAGAGAGGGCTGGAGTGCAGGGTATTCTCTTTCATTGTTCAAACTGAGCTCAACTCCTGATCCATGGAGAAAAGGCCTTCACAAGCCTCTGTGTCAGGATTACAGAATGATATAGCATGTAGAATTGTGTAACACAGAGGACTGATAGGTAATGTATACCGGACCTTAGAATGGCCCGCCTAACGTGCCAAAGAATAGTCAGGAATAGCCGAGGTCAAGGGAAACAGAAAGAGACACAACGATAAGGAAAAGCCAGGAGTCAGGGATGCCAGAAAACAGGGAAGTCAAAAACAATGCCAAAGTCAAATAACCAGAATAACCAGAATCAATAATGCGCTCTCGGACCAAGGGAAACCACGACAGGGCACTGAGCAGGATGAGAACTGGGCCTAAATACCCCTCCTCTATACCTGATAGGCTGTGACCGGCCTTTGACCCCAAAGTCAGTTAACAGGTTCCTATTTGCATAATTGCTGCTCAGCATTAACCCTTCTGTGAATTTGTTCGCTGCTCGGCACAACTTTTCCTGTGTGGACAGTAAATGTCATTAACCACATTTTTATAAGCGGATGAATACGTGACACTCTGCTGTTGTGTACATAGTTTATACTAACTGACCCATAGGTTGAGGAGGCGGTGACCGTGGCGGTGTAGGTGGAAGCGGTGGTGGAGGAGGAGGTAGCCAACACTGTTTATATATATATTTTTTTATTTTAATTGGGGTAGCCCCCAAAATATTGTGACATACAAAATAAGAAACATCTGCGGCCTGCGGTGCATTTCTTGCAGTCCCGATGCATGGAGAAATGCTCAGCTCCTGATGTATGGAGAAAAGGCCTTCACAAGCCTCTGCTAATGTGTACATAGTTTATACTAAGTGACCAATAGGTTGAGGGGGCGGTGACCGTGGCGGTGTAAGTGAAAGCAGTGGTGGAGGAGGAGGATGAGGTAGCCAACGCAGTTTTTTTATATATATATATATATTTTTTTTTAATTGTGGTAGCCCACAAAATATTGGGACAAACAAAAAAATAACATTTGCGGCCTGCGGTGTATTTCTTGCAGTCCTGATGCATAGAGAAATGCTCAAAGGCCTTCACAAGCCTCTGCTAATATGTACATAGTTTATACTAAGTGACCCATAGGTCGATAAGGCGGTGACCGTGGCGGTGGAGGAGGAAGCAGCAATGGAGGAGGAGTATGAGGTAGCCAACACTGTTTTATATATATATATATATATATATATTTATTTATATTTTATTTTATTTGGGGTAGCCCCTAAAAAAAAATTGGGACATATAAAAAAAGACAACTCTGTTCCGCAGAGTAGCTGTTGACATTATAGTTGCGCACTTTGTTGACTCTAGAGAACCTCGGGCCAATCGCACATACCTGTGGTGGCGACTTTGCATGTGGATGTCATCCATATCAACTTTCAATGCCAGTTTCTGCGCATACCATGGAGACCACGGGTAATGGGAAATCATTCCGTACAGGGACCATGAGGAACGGCTACCACATGCAATGAAGGCAGCAGGCGCGCAAATGACCCACTCCCGACACACGAGATAGTGACGACAAATAACAATACAGGACTCTTTAGAGTCCATGTAATTGTAATGAGTCCACTTGAAATCCTTTTACTCTGATCAGTTGGAGGGAAGTCTGGTGCAGAGCCACTGATCCGTGCGTGCTGCAGCTAAAACTCCACTATCGCCTGCTGCTGATCGCACAGTCTCATGAGGCAGTGAGCGGGAAGGCCGAAGTTACGCTGCAGCGCAGACAGGCGAGCAGCAGCAGGGTGACAACGCCAAAAGCGCACACAGCCGCTACAGTGAATGTTACATCCTGTTCCAAGTTGCGGATTAGTCTGGTGATGGTTTCTGGTATCCAGTACTCTTTTTACTGAAGTTGCATCAGGGTCCTGGTATGTGGCCGCACACACGCTGGTGCTCAACACCAGGGGGCGTGCTGTTACCCTGCACCAGACCCTGCTAATCCATTCCACAATGTGACTCTTAACTTCAACATCAGGCATACTGGGTCCCGGTCATCCGACCGCCGCCCAGACAGTGTCTGGGTCCTGGTCACCGGACTGTGAAACTGCGAATGGCTCGTTAAATCTGTTATGGTTCCTTTTATCGCTCCATCTGTTACTTGGATAACTGTGGGAATTCTAAAAATAATAAATGCCGACGAGCACTAGGGGACGGCCACTCCGCTTTTGCACCCTGCTCCCTCTTATGCTGTGTTGGTGCCTCTGTGCGACCAGCGCCTCTTCCTTCAAACTGCACATGTCACGCGCATGACCTTGATTCCATGTGGGGTCTAGGACCTCATCATCATCCATATCATCTTCCACACACTCCTCAACCCTGCCCTCTGCAGAATGCCGGTCTGCACACTGCAGAAAGCCACAGCAGTTGGCACCTGTGTTTTTCCAGCATGTAAAGTCTGCAAAGGAAATATGGAAATTGTTTTAGAATTGTATCCAGGCAACAGTTTTCCCTATAAACTGACCTCTCAGTTTGACTTGTGAGGGTATTGCCCCAGAATTACAATATTGTTGAAGTACCTCTTAGCTATTGATCACTGGTTTAAATATAGCAGCTTGTTATCTGGCAGTTTCTAGTGTAGAAAATATCAATCTGTTTTCTATCACTTAGATCTGTGTAACAAGTGTTGTAGGTGCGAAACAATATTACAAGTGACGATGTAGTAAATTCGAATCAAAGTTACGCTTCAATTTAACTCTCAGATATGAAGTGAACACCCCAAATATACTATTTAGCACCAAAATTTTTTTTCTTTTTAAAACTCCAATGTAAGCAGCAGATTAGCAGCAAAACAATTAGAATTTTTGCAACTGCGCTGCAAGCACACTATTAGATGCTTCCATTTGACTCTCAGATATGAAGAGCAGGCCCCAAAATTTACTATTTAGCAGATTAACACCCAGAAAATAAGAATGTTTACCCCTGCGCTGTAAGCACACTATTAGACGCTTCGATTTGACTCTCAGATATGAATTGCACCCCACTAATGTACTATTTAGCAGTTTAGCACCCAAATAATTTTACGTTTTAAAACTGCAATGTGACAGCAGTATTTGACGATTCTATTTGACTCTCAGATATGAAGTGCACCCCACCCCACTAATGTACTAGTTTGCAGAATTCTTTCCTAAGCTGTCCCTATCAGCAGCAGCATCCTCTCCCTACATTAATAAGACCGCGTGTGCGTGCTGCGCTACGCGACTACAGCTTATATACAGAGGCTGTGTCACATGCTGCACTGGCTTCTAAGGGCACACGAGTCAAATGCTTGTTGATTGGCTGCCCTGCAGCCTTTCAAAATGCGCCATTAAATCGATGAACACCGAACTTCAACCCAAACATACAGTGATATGTCCGTGTTTGGGTCCGGGGTTCAAAAAAACCTGATGTTCGGTACGAACCCGAACTTTACAGTCCAGGTTTGCTCAACTCTAATAATAACATCCCTTTGAGTTCTAGCTCTTGTGAAAGAACTACCTAAAACCTGAATTATAACAGGACTATAGCTGTCCGAGAATGACCTCTTTACTGACACATATTATTCTGGGTAGTGTTCCCCAACCCAGTTCTGGTGGACCACCAACACTCCAGATTTTGTATCTCCATTGGAATAAAACAGGGACACACATTAATCCTGGACTGTTGGTGGTCCATGAGGACTGGATTGGGGAACACTGGTTTACGACACAAGGTTACAGACTTGTGTGAGATCATGGCTTGCCCTCTTCAATGTGCCATAACTTCACTGTTTGGTCCCTTACCACCTGTCTAGGAAAGCAGCAGACACCTAGAGATTATGATATGTGCAAAGAGTCACATGAGAACTTGTTGTAGCCTCTCCTGCTTATCAATACCCATTTCCCCAAATATCTATCCAATGTTAAAAAACTGAGAGTTTGGCAAAAGGATCATTATGTGATTTAAGCAGGAGAGACTTTTTTACAACATCATGAGGAGTCCATGTTTCTGGAGCTCCAAGTCTCCTCTATAGTGAATTTAGATAAAGATATGGTTATAATAGAGTGGGAATTGTCTACCTAACAACTTTGCGTACATCCTTTTTTGAAGGAAAATAGTTTATCATTGAAATTTGGTTGAAAGAAGTTTTTGCACTGTCTCAATTTTTTAAACAAAAATATTTATTTTATTTATAGGAAATCATCTGTGTTGAAGGCTGCTAGCGTGTCATTTGACACTGGAGCAGTTTTTACAATTTCTTGGGAACTTCCCCAAAGAAGATACATTTGTGGAGGAATTCGATAAACTCAAGCAAAGGTTACTTGCACCATGCTTGATGACGCTGAATAACCTTGGATGACCTTGAGAAGTTCTGTATGTGAGACCTAGCAATGTGAGTCTGAACAGAGGTCACAGAAGTGATGTAATGCATTCACATTGGGTGATTGGATGGTTTAATGATGGAAATATAACCTGTCAGACTAGTAAAATGATATGAGGAAAGCTGGGCCACTGGACTCGTCATCCAAGACCATTAAGATAGACAAGAAAGAGAGAATGAATTATGAAGGATATTTTTTAAATGGGGACTGGAGACCTATATAGCCTCTTTCACTATATTCAGAGTGTTAAAAATATTCCAAAAATGTGGGAAATATAGAATTATTTGGAACAAATTACTAGAGTCTCTACTATACCAAATGCGGCAAAACCATTTGGTTGCGTACAGTTACATTTGGGCTGCAAAATCATGACAATGTTTGCACTATTTAACAATGTCTGGAATTTGCAGAGAAAGCTTCAGCTGAGCCTAAATATTGTCTGAATACCTGAAATCTGGACCATGAAATCTGGGCAATTGTCCTCTTCCATCATTTCATTGTCCTATTCCATCACTTCATTGTCCTATTCCATCTTGGTTCTTTTTTTCGGTTCACAAATTTGTTCCTTTTAAGGAGCATCTGTTGGTTTCTGGAGAAGACAGCCATGGGTGGGGAAATGCCATAACATATCCCATCTCTCTGTTTATGTAGAGGTCACGCAGTTTACCTTGGGGCTGAACCTCCGGATGTTTTGGACCTAGCAATGCCTCTGTAAAACAGTTTTTCCATTTATTGTGTAATCTTTAACAACACAAACGCGTCTTTCCCCCTAGTAATATTACTCATTAATGGTATTTTGTGAATGTAGTCAATAGAGAAATTAACAGGAAGTAAAAGAATTGCACAATCCAAATGAAGAATAAAAAGTGTCAGAAAGGTGGATTATATTGGTGGACGTGAGAAGGACAGCGAAATGCCTGCGCACAAACCCTGTGTAAAATTGAACTCTTTTTATTCGTAATCCCCAATACATGTCTCTGCCACACAATGACAGCAGCTCAGTGAAACAATTATAACAAAAATAATAATTAGTAACATTGTTTTCTCGCTTTATTTTGGAATGATTAAGGCTTTTGTTTTAGATAGGGTGTAAATGTATTATTATTAACATCTATATAGCACCAACATATTTCACAGCGCTGTACCATTATAGAAAAGGAGATTATTTAGAAAAGAGGTTTTGAGGTAGACGGATATATATATATATTGTTATCTAGCTAGTTATTTGGGCTGTAGCCATTGCTGCCGACCAGGATTAATGGGAGTCTGAGTGCAGGACTTATTTTTGTGTACTTGTATTTGCTTTTTGTATCACACAGCCGTGTTACAGTGCTGCCGCCTACCCTATGTGTTTCCTATTAAGGGTTAACAAGTATGTAGGGGTTCAGAAACATACCCCTCTCTGTCTCATTAGAGATATCCTTCCCTACAGCCGAAGACAGCAAGGTGCATAGCCAGTGTAGGACCCACCTAAGAGGTTTGCCTTGACGTGGCAGGTGGGTTTTACACCTAATGGCCATTGGAGTTACTAAAAACTTCCTTTTATTTATGCAAAAAATACCATCTAAGGATAGAGAGAGAGACAGTGGCGTACTAAGGGGGGCTGCAGCCGCCCGAGTACTCTGTAGAGAGCCTCAGGCGGCTGCAGCTTTGCCCGGGCGGTGCGTCCATGAGGGCGGACCACACTCCCTCTGTAGTAGCGTGGCCGAGCCCAGTACAGTCCGCGGGTACAGGGAGAAGCTGTCTCCTGTACCTGGCCGGACTAACAGGAAGTGCACACTCAGTGTGCACTTCCTGTTAGTCCGGCCGGATACAGTAAACAGATGCTCCCTGTACCCGCGGACTATACAGGGCTCGGCCACGCTACAGCAAAGGGAGGGGGGGGATGAGAAAGAGAAAGGGG